CTGGGGGGGGGGTCAGGGCAGGCTCTGGGGGGGTCAGTGCAGGCTCCAGGGGGGTCAGAGAGACTGGGAACTACAGCCACAGCAGATGCAGCTCTCTGCTCAGGCATATCAGAGATCCCCCTGATATGCCTGAATAGAGGGCTGCATTGTCGCATGATTGGCCGTGACTCGGGTCAACTCGGCCTGGTCGCGATTCGGAGCAGCTCGGCCTGGCTGCAACTCTGTGTTGGCTCGGTCGGGCTTATTTGTAGGGGAGCTCCACCCACCCCTATGTTAATCCGGCCTTGCTTAGATGGCAGAAGCATGCTTTTGTAATTTCAGAGACAGCAAAGCAGGGTTACATGAGCCAAAACCTCTGTACATGGGGCTGCGGGACGAACAGTGAAAATACGAACAGTCACCCACTATCTAGGACTGTTGGAAGACATGGAGAAGGAGTCCCTCTAAGACCCATTGTCAGAAAAATAACTCTGACACATATAACGTCATACAGTATTTGGCAACAATCCTATTGCCCTTAGTTGGTAACACGGTACACCACATTTAGAATACCAAGAAAAGAAGTCCAAACTTTGAAAAAAGAGGCAGAAGTTTCTATATGACCAAATGCAAGGGGGCATGTCAGACCTCTGCATCCAAGGCTCCTCCTCTACAGCAAGCTTTGAGAGGACAGGCTTTTCTTCTCAGGGTGCTGCTGTTTTCTAAACAGAGGCGGCTCTAGAGTTTGCGAGGCCTTAGGCAAAACCTAAACTTGAGGCCCCACTCAGGCCTGTGGGGTTTAACCAGGCTGGTGAGACCCCGCAGAGCCCTGGTGAGACCCCACAGAGCCCTGAATAAATTAGGGCTCTGTAGGGTTTTACCAGGGCTCTGTGCGGTTTCACCAGTCCGGTTAGACCCCTCCGTGCCCTGGTGAGACCCCAAAGAGTCCTGGTTAAACTAGGGCCTTGTGGGGGCCTCAGCAGGGCTCTGTGGGGGTCTCACCAGTCTTGGCGAAACCCCACAGAGCCGTAGGGAGACCCTACAAAGCTCTGATTTAATCAGGGCTCTGTGGGGTCTCACTAGGGCTCTGTGGGGTCTCGCCAGGGCTCTGTGGGGTCTAACCAGCTTGGGTAGACCGCACAGAGCCCTGGTCAAATCCCAAAGAGCCCACCAGGGTAGGGTCCCAACATGGTTCTGTGGGGTTAAACCAGGGCTGGTGAAACCCCACAGAGCCCTGGCGAGACCCCACAGAGCCCTGGCGAGACCCCACAGAGCCCTGGCGAGACCCCACAGAGCCCTGGCGAGACCCCACAGAGCCCTGGCGAGACCCCACAGAGCCCTGGCGAGACCCCACAGAGCCCTGGCGAGACCCCACAGAGCCCTGGCGAGACCCCACAGAGCCCTGGCGAGACCCCACAGAGCCCTGGCGAGACCCCACAGAGCCCTGGCGAGACCCCACAGAGCCCTGGCGAGACCCCACAGAGCCCTGGTTAAACCTGTAGGGTCTCACCAGCACCAGGGCTCCGTAAAGCTCTCTAGGGTCTCACCAGGGCTCTTTGGGGTCTCACTAGAGCATCAAGCTCTGTGGAGCCTCACCAAGATTCTGGGGAGTCTAACCAGCCTTGTTAGACCCACAGAGCCCCGGGCAGACACCACAGAGCTCTGGTGAGACCCACAGAGCCCTGGTTAAACCTGTAGGGTCTCACCTGGGCTGTGTATGGCCTCACCAGCACCAGGGCTAAGTGGGATCTCACCAGCCTGGTTAGTCCACACAGAGCCCCGTGAGACCCCAAAGAGCCCTGATTAAATCAGGGCTCTGCAGGGTCTCATCAGGGATCTGTAGAGTTTTGCAAGGGCTCTGTAGGGTCTCGGCAGGGCTTTGTAGGCTCTCGCCACCCTGGTTAAACCCCTCAGATCCCCGTTGAGACCCCACAGTGCCCTGGTTAAACCAGGGCTCTGTGGGGTCTCACCAGGGCTCCGTGGGGTCTCACCAGCCTGGTTAGACCCCTTTAGGGCCCTGGTGAGACCCCTTAGAGCACTGTTTAAAACAGGGCTCTGTGGGGTCTCACCAGCACCAGGGCCTCACCAGGGCTCTGTGGGGTCTCATCAGGGCTCTGTCTGGTCTCACCAGGGCGAGATAGGGTCTCACCAGGGCGAGATAGGGTCTCACCAGGGTGAGATAGGGTCTCACCAGGGCGAGATAGGGTCTCACCAGCACCAGGGCTCCGTAGGGTCTCAACAGCCTGGTTAAAAAGAATATAAATTGCAAGGCTTTTGTTTTAATGCACCTTGAATATGTGTGACCTGGAGCAGCTTTGACATTTTTGCTGTGTTTGGTTGACCATAATTTCCATCTTCCTCATTCATTGTACCTACACATATTATATTCCGTTTTTTAAAAGACAAAATGGGCTTTAATTTGATGTGACATATGCTTATATAAACTACCTTGTTCCCGTAACTAAATAACAATTTTACTACTTCCTACTACTTTACTACTTCCTGTAACTTCATCTACAGGCTTGTAAAATACCTTCTGCTGGGAGTTAATTTCCTGTTGGTGAAATTGGAGCAGACAGTATCTGCCCATTGCAACCAATCAGCTTCTCTCTTCAGTTTGTTCAGTTAAGCTGTAGAAATGTAAGAGAGAACCTGATTGGTTGCAATGGGCAACTGCTCCAAATTTTGCCTGCTCGTTATGAACAGTTACCGCAGTGAGTGGGCAGGCTCTTCTGAGGAAAGGCAGCAACATTGTTTTGTTGTGAAATAATTCAATGTATGCATGTGAAGAGAAACAAAAAGTGGTGGAAAATGG